TTGTCATGTAATTTTCATGCCAATCTAATTTAGCTTTGGCTTTCTTTAGCCAATCATTTCCTATGAGAGCTTGATATTGTGACACATCAACTACAAGGACTTTAATCAGGATGTTGACATTTTCTACTTCAAATAGAAAATTGTCTATTTCTTTTAATGGTGTAGTGTGTTTTCTATCGGTGGTGATTATCTCAGTATTAGCTGGTCATTGCGTTGTTCGTCTAAGCTTTTCTAGTAACTTAGTAGTTATTATACTTCTGGCAGATCCAGAGTCAATAATTAATTTAATTAATTTATTATCGACTTTTGCTTTGATAGTCATTGCTGTGATTTTTTCTTTCATCTTTGTGGTATCTACCATTATTGATTCTTCTTTCCTTTTAGGTTTTGATTGTACTTTTGGTTTTGGTGGTTGATTATTAGTATTGTTATCAGGTCTTGGGTCACAAATAGAATAACTCTTATAGCTTTTTCCTAACCAGTTTCGACACCAGTGACATTGGCAAATATCCAATCAATATTCATGTTTTCCTTTCATGTGTTCGTAATAGTTTTCTATGGTGATTATTTTTAGAATGTCCTGACAATCAGAGCATTAGTTTTCTCAGTGTGGTGAATTTCCTTAGTAGTTGGATAAACATACATGAAGTAGACATCTCTCTTGATCTTTCGTTATTTTTTTTGGAAACCTCGATTTTATCCAATGATAAGTTTTCTTAAAGGTCATTGGTTTCTTAGCTTTTTCATTGACTTGGATCATTATTGCTGGAAGTGCTTTGTCTTCAGATTCACTTGTTTCATTTTTGTCAGACTCGGATATTGGTTCATCAGCTAAATAAGTATGCTGAGTTCAGGATCTTTGATAATTTTCTCATTGATTTTTTTGGTTATAATTATTTCTTATCCTTTTTTCAGTTCTCGGACATCTGTGAATTGGTGCGTAATTAGTGTATGATCATGTTATTTTCATTATTGAATGATTAATAAGTATTCGGGGTGGTTAGTTATATCTTTCCGGATCATTATTACTTCTAAAATTTCTTCTTGTCTCAGAGAATTGATTGGATCTGACCTGGTTGATTTTTTGATAATTATTTCTTTCTTGTATTCTTGTCTTACAATCTCTAATAAGATGTCCTGGTCATTGACAATAATAACAAGTCTTTTTTTTCATTATTTCTTTCCTAGGTTCTTCTTTCTATAACAACAACATCTGAATCACTTTTTCGATTTTCTCCAATTGTTTATTTTCTTGTTTTTCTATGGATTTCTTGTTAATGACTACGTTTATACTGGTGGTGAATGTGCTATAGGTCAAGACAGTTTTGGCATCTCAGACTTCTTGGAAGGCTTTTTTCAGAGTCTTGATCTTTGAATCGTAGACTCGTTTTCTCATTTTATGGTCCAATCTTCATATGAATATATCAGCTTTTTGTTGATTTGTATAATACTTTCTGGTTGAATCTGCACGGCGAAGGAGTTTGACGAATTTATCATAGTATTTTATTATATTTCAGTTGGATCTTTTCTCATAGTAGTTAGTTTTGTGTGCAATTTGGCAGTGGAGGCTTTTTCCATAAAGAATCTAAGAAAAGCTCTTATGAAGTTATCAGAATTTTCAACTATTTCTTCCAGCAAGATTTCGTATCATTCGTTCGCAGTATCTTTTAAAACCAACGGAATCCTCATGGCTAATGTTTGTTTACTCCATTCATTGGCAATGACTATTTTGGACACTTCCATGACCCAATCTATTGGATCATCATCCTTATCATTTTCTCAAATGATGGGTAACTTATATTCTTTTGGTCTCACTGATCTTTTCCGTTGTTGCAGCTCATCCTGAAGTTTGACAAATCTTTTTAACAGTGTATAATCGTTATTATCATCATTATTGATTTCAGAATCATTGGGATCAGATTTATTGAGATCGTCTTCTATTCCTTGGGTGACTTGATGTCGTAGTTGTTGAAGATTTCCTGTTTTTCTTTTCTTAGTTGATCTTTTTTCTTTTTCTTCTGTCAACCATGAATTTTTTTTTCGAGATCCTCTATCTCTGTCTTCTTGTTCTCCATCATATCTGGTTTCCTCTTCCTTTCATGTGGTGGTTAACGTGAATGTACTCATTGTTTTTTGTTCCAGTTCGATCATTGGAGAGTATAATTCCTATAATTTTTTTGTTAGTAATTTCTGTTGCTCAATTACCTTACTTACCTGATTTTTGTTCCCTCTGTTTCCAGTTACCTCTTCTTCTTTCATTATCTTAGCAATCATTTTCTCAGTAAGCTGAACTTGTTTCTTTAATATTTCTTTTGCTTTCTGAATGGTTATTTTAATTTTTTCTCTTAACGCTTTTTCTTGTTCCGTTAATTCTGCTAGGATACTTTTGTTGGTGCTTTCATGACTTATTGATTCTTCATTATCTAACTTGATGAATGCTGTATTGGCATCTTCTGCGTCTTCGTCAAATTCGGTCCAATTAAATATGACTTCTGCGTTCTTTTTGCAATATTCAAGTATTTGTTTTTGAAGACTTTTCATATAGTCTTTGCTTTGGTCTTTGTTTATTTTGAATCTGCTTTCGATTTTGACTTGTAAGATGAGTCTTGTTTGAATTGATTTAATCAGAGTTTTTCCTTCTAAGTGAAATCATATTTGTCCTTGATAGAATCAATTGAATGTTTCTTTGAGGATCTGGTTTTTGTTTGTTTCATAGTCTTCTAATACTTGTTGATATAATTGATCTTGGTGTTCTTTAAACTTTTCTTTGTCCGCCAATATAATGATTTTGTCCTTTTGGACTTCTGATTGGTGTTGTTTTTATTGATCATTCTTTTGTTTGTTGTTTATTCTTCTTGGTATTTTGTCATGTTTGGTATCATTCGAATAGTGAGATTTCTTTTTGGTGAATATTATTATTTTTTTTTTAATTTTTTGAATTCTTTCATTTTTGATTGTTAATAATATTTTTAATTAATTATTTTAACAGTTTGTTATTGTTAACTTTTTATTCTAACTATTTCTAGATTGATATACTCGAATGGATCCTATGGTGCAGGAACGTTGATTATTATTAAGAATACTAATTATTTCATTTATAGATGGAATCCTTTCAGTGATAACAGTGACCGTTCTTCTTTCCATGGGTGAATAGACTTGCATTTGGATAATTTCTATTATCTCAGATCATCTGGGGCCAGTTGCACAGTAGGTATAACTTCGCGTTATTATAACTTGGGATGACATAAATTAATTCTTTCTTTTTCAGTTCATAGCTCTTTGAAATCGATCTCTTCTGGATGATCCTCTTGGTGAGCTCACCAAATGTCACGAGTCCCAGGCTCAGGTAGGTAATCTCGTGACATGAATATTCAACCAACCTCTATTTTGGTAAGTTAATATTTTGATCCAGTTGCTTTAGGATCGTGACGCTGTGCAGCTTCTTCTATTCTATTAATTAGAATAGGAAACACTACTATTAATAAATATCTTTTTTTGTATTTACTTAGTGTGGTGACAGTTCTATAGCAATACAATACTGATATTCTATAGCAATCTGGTTGAGTGTCCAGTAGTGTATAGTATAAGTATTATAACAAGATTAACAATTATAAAATCAATTAATGTACAATTTTATTAACAATAAACAAAAAGCGGTTTATTGACTAGCTAGATTTTGTATTAATCAATTGATGCCTTTTGGTTTATCCAAAAGATCTTTTATTTATATAGAATAATTTATGGCTAAGTTATTACAATGTGAAATATGTTATACATGTCAGATAAATATAATATAGTGAATAATGTTGATATAACTGAGAACTCTGCTATCTCTGCTATCTCTTCAATCTATGTTTAGTCACATAATCAGAATTAAGAAATTAAGTAATTAAGAATAATTTCAGACTGTAACAAGGTATAAAGGTATTTCTGATATCAACATTTCTTGTCAGGTCCTCTCCAATCAAAAGATCATTTACTATTCTATCTGCATTCTTGTTAAAATTTTTCGTTAAGTCATTGAGTATCTTCCCAAGTAAATTTCTTTCATCTGATTTTAATTCCTTCTTGATATACTTGTACTTTATTGATCTTTTTGACATTATATATAATTTGAAGTGGCATTTCTTTAAGATCAACATATTTGAGATCTCTTTTATGAGTTTCAACAAGAGTTCAAGTTTCTTCAGTGATAATTTTAATATTGTTATCATCTTGAGTTTCTTGTTGTCTAGATATTACTATATTCCAATCATCATGTTGCTACATGAGAAATATTTTCTTTTCCAAGTGCTGTTCTTCGTATTTATCTTCAGAGTCTTCTTCTTCTGAATCATCTTCTTCAGAACTTGATTCTTCAAATATAGGATTTTCTCTATCACCATAAATAAATTTAATTGGAACTTTTCCTTTTCTTTTATTAAATTTGAAAGTGAGAAGTCCTTTTCTAATATTAATATTGGTTTTGATTTTGTTTAAGAAACCCATTCCTATGATTACTGAATATGTTTTGGCTTCAGTGATATCAACTTCAGTTGAAATTATGGTTCCATCAATGTTGAGAAATAAATTATATTTACTAAAAGTGAGCTAAATCAATTTCTATCGTATTAACAGAAAGCGTTCAGTGGTGTCGTAAAAAGGCTTTTTTCCTCGAAAATATACCCGACGCAAGACAAACCAAAAAAGGTGTTAAAAGTGTATTTAAGTGAGGAGTACCCGGAGTAGGGTTCCAATCTTTTATCCGAATATCCGTTTGTAACCATATCCGATCCAGAATTATCACCAACTGGTTTGGTTTTTTAAAAATCATTTAAACTGGTTTTATTTATATATAAATATTCGGTTAATTTAAAAACTGATTTAAAATAAATATCCGGTTTTATTTATATACAAATATCCGGTTAATTTAAAAACTGGTTGAAATATAAATATTTGATTAATTGAATATCTAAAAAAAAGATAAAAATGGTAATTGAAAAATTTTTTCACTTTCTATTATGACTGGATCTATTTCATCTTCAATAACTGAATCTGTGTTAGGTAAAAATGAAAAGCATAATTAGTTTGTCTTGTAGTCTTTAAACTAATATTTTTTATATCTAGGAGAATATATATCTTCACCTTCTTTAAATAGAGAAGAACCTAGAAATAATGAAACACAAAAACGAAAAAAGCGTGACAATAGTAGCATTGTGTGGGATTATTTCAAAACTGAAACAATAACAAATAATCGTTTTAATGTATGTCAAATATGTAAAAAGAAAAATATTATTATCAAATATACATATGATTCTTTAACAGGAAATATGCTCAGTCATCTTTGGACTAAGTATAGGATAGATAAAGATCATCCTGAAGAAATGGTAAGAAAATTCATTTTTAAATTAATATTTAAAGTTTTACTAATAAACTATTTATAAATATAGACTACTAATGGTTCAATTGTCAAAGTAATGCATATTATTACCAAACGACGACAACAAAAATTATCTCAATTATTGATTGAATTTATTATTCAAGATTGTCAACCTCTCAACATTCTACGTAACCCAGCTTTTCGTCAATTTGTAAACAATTTGGAAGTTGGATTTCAAATTCCTTGTAAAGTAACAGCAAAAAAAATGATTGATCAAGCTTATAATTGGAGTCACGATTAACTATTTGGTATGATGAATACAAATGGTGAATTTGTTAATCTTACCACGGATTTATGGAGTTCAAGAACAAATGAAGGATATATTGGAGTAACAGCAACATGGGCAGATTCAGATTTTACTTTGAAAGAAGCTTTATTATCAATTCAAGCACTTCCATCACCACACATGGCTGAATACATCAAAGATTCACTTGATTGAATTACAGTGCAGGACACTTAAAGACGCCAATAAAATTAGTCATCTTTAAAGCAAAGGATCTTTATACAAAGGTTATACAAAAAAAAGGGGGCCGATATTTTGTAGCTAGACCTATTTACTACAAAATAGCGGCCTCCTTTTTTTTGTATAATCTTTGTATAAAGATCCTTTGCTTCAAAGATGACTAATTTTATTGGCGTCTTTAAGTGTCCTGCACTGTATCACCAAATGGGGATTGAATGGATGAGTTTTTTGTATCATAACAGATAATGGTGCTAACATTAAAAAAGCAATCCGGCTAATGGACAACATTACACAATTATCTTGTGCAGCACACACACTTCAGTTAAGTGTACTCAAAGGTCTCAAACTTATAACACAATTTATTAAGCGGGCAAAAAATTTGATTCTTTTTTTTGTACAAAGTCCTAAACAATCAAAGCGACTTAAAGATGCTCAAGAAAAATGCCATTATTCAAAAATTCATCAAATAATTACTGATGTACCAACTTGATGGAATTCGTCATATTTGGCTTGGATTCGGCTTAAAGAACTACGACAAGCAATAGATTATCTTGCTCTAATATTGCCATTAGAATTAGAATGATGTGATAAACTTGATGGTGAATATTTAAAATTAATAAATCTGACAGATAATGAATGGAGGTATGTATTTTTTTTTGTTTATATTATTACTTATTTGAATTTAACTAATACTTTTATTAGATTGTTAGATGATCTTATTCTGCTATTAAAGCCATTCTATAATGCTACTACTATATTCTCTGGTTCAAATTATCCTACTCTCAATCTTATATATCTGACAATGACATTACTTATCAAAGAGTTTGCACCTTCCGACGAAGAAACCGAAGATGACTATATTGAATTGTTATTTGAACCTTTGGAACAAGAAGAATCTCAAATGAATGATCAAAGTCAAATTATTGACAATAATTCAGATATCGATAACGAAATTGAACCAATGATTACAAAAGAGCAACTTCAGCAACCATTACAAGTATCACAAGGAAGAGAAAGAAAACAAGAACAAGGTCGAGATCGTGATCGTAATCATGACCGTGGTCGTGGTCATAATCGTAATCGTGGAAATTCTATAACAAGATTACAAGAAAGTCAAGAGAATGATAAAATGTCAAGTACGACAAACCAACGTGATCAATGATTTAAAGATCGCCAGATAATAGCATCTCCTATTACTACTGAAGGATTGCATAATTTGGTTAAAGCTGCAAGTTATCTGTCTCTCCAAGAATATTGGAAAGTACCTGAAGATGTTGAACTTATAGCAGCATTCTTGGATCCACAAATAAAAAGTTTGAAGTTTCTTGGTAATACAACTCTAAAGATAACTACAATTAACAAAGTACGAAGACTTTGTGTTGAAGAAGAGTGCCGCCAACCTTCAATTGAAGAATTTTCCAGAAACAAATCATTTAATATATCAACATCCGAAATCGTGACATCAAATGATTTAATGGCAGCTCTATACAGAGACGAGGAATCAGATAATGAAGATTTTGAAGAGAATGAACTCGATCGTTACCTTCTTGAACCTAATGAAAAAAGAAGCTGCGACCCCTTAACATGGTGAAAAGATAGAGCAAAAAGATATCCCATATTATCAAACCTTGCTCGGAAATATCTATCAGTACCAGCAACATCAGTTCCCTCAGAACGTCTATTTTCGGATGCTGGATTATATATCACAGCATTACGTAACTGGCTTCAGCCAGATATGGTTGAGAAAATGATCTTTCTTAAGCGTAATATGCAATTTTTTCCTATTTTCAAGCCAGATGAAGTATAAGGTGGGAGATTAGTAATGGGTAATATAATAGGTATTCATAATAGATATCTACACGTTATCATTTTGTAATGAGTAATGTTATGGGTAATATAATAGGTATTATAATTAAATCTATCATTTTGTCATATACATATTGCTAATTTTGGTTTTGAACATTATATGTGTTGAACAAGAGATATGGGGAATCGAAAACATCATTATTTATCAGGTTCTGGCATTTTAAAGTGACAATCACCAATTCTCTGTAAAAAAAGCATAATTTCCGCGTTACATTTTGCCTTGATGATAACATTTGTCACATGCATGGCAGCGTTGTCACGTGGAAGCTTAAAGTAGAGATAGCAATAGGAATCGATTAATCATTTTAAATATGAAAAGTTAGGGAGGGTCGGATACTTTTGTATTTATTATCTGGTTAAACCGGATAGCATATAACCAGTTGATATTCTATCTGTCTAACCGAACTGAAATCTAAAACTGGATATCTGAATTTGTTACGGATAGCCGGTTTAGAATGAACCTTCATCCAACGGGTCACAGATCTAAAATTTGAAATCAGTTTGGAACCCTATATGTAATATTGTTATTCTTATATTATATACTTGTATAATCTATGTGCAGAGTGCTGACAGAGTCAGCAATAGTGAAAAGTATAGTAATAAAGAAGCTTTGTTAATAAAAACTATCTTGAACCCATCATAATTATAACGTATAACTTTCTTAATAATAAACTTAACTTGATCCACTATCTCCTCTTATAACTGTAAGAAGAAACCCGTTAAAGATCTTCTGCTATATAAATACTGTTAAAAGAACTGGAATAACAGTATTATCACCCAATTATATAACAATAACCTATCAGAAGCTTTTAATATAATTCATCTAGGAAAAATCTCTCACACATAATCACAATCTGCAACTTTCAGGCATCTTGATATGATTTGGTCTACACTATATTTATCAATCACACTATAATATTCTGTCATTATGGATCTCTTGCTCATTGATACTGATTACTTGCTTATAGTTTTAGATTATACAATATCAAATTTTATCCACAAAATACCACTCCACATTATCAAATGATTCAAAAACAAAAGATACGCTTATGTTACTGATAAACTAGATGATGACACCTGACCCAAATTTTTATTACACACAAAAAATTCAAGCTTATCCATTGATCCACATGTACTCTCTAACATTAACACTCTTTGGAGCAAAATCAAACACATCATTCTCACAGCAGCTGACTTCACTCTCAAAAAAAAAAGAAGTAAAAAAAGAATTTATACCACCAACTTTTATCACCAATACTTTAAAAATCATTAAAACTCTTACTTATCTCATCAAACTTCACAATTTATACAATAACTTAGCAAACTCTTCACTAGTTGAATCACACAATTATCTTCTTAATACACTGCGCTCTCTAGATAACTCAATCCAAATACCTCTAATTGACTTTACATTGTATTCCAACTCTAATTTTCTATCAACTTTAATCACACACAGAACAAATTTCAAAAAACTCTACAAATATGAAGCACAATGCGACAAATCTATACAAATCAACAACGCAATACAACTAAACATATAACGCTTTGACACATAACATGACATCATATTAAACAATATTTTGAAAAAAAATCGCAAACAAATAAAATTGGATAAAGTAATCACTTCAAATGGACTTTTTGATGATCCTGCAATCATTAAAAACACTATCAAAAATCACTTCACAAACTGGACAAGAAAATGCAATCACAACCTGTGGTCTAATAACTCATGGCAGCAACAATATCAACCCTTAAATCATATTCCTGACAACACATTCAACTCAGTCTCTGCACCCATAACAAATGAAAAAATTCAATTAATGCTTGCTAATATCTCATCAGACAAAGCATTTGGTCCATCAGGAATAAAGCACATTCTACTTAAAAAAGCAAGTCCTGAAATGCATAATCTCCTAAAAAATCTTTACAATCTTTGTATCCAACAAAATGATGTTTTCACAGAGTGATAAAATGTACAAATCATCCTCATATCTAAACCACAGGAATGGGAAGGCAATCTTGATAATACAAGATTCATCACATTAATTGAAACAGCAAGAAAAGAACTTTTACACATTCTGACAGTTAGAATATCACAAATATGCTCAGATAGCAATATCCTGCAAGAAAACAACTTCTCTGTGCTAAAAAATATCTCAATAACCACTCCACTTCACATTGTCAACTCTATTTTGGAAGACGCTAATAAAAAAAAAGAAACTTGAATTATTTTCCAGAATATGAAGTGTGCATATGATTCAGTCAGCTGAAAAATGCTGGAACTTGCTTTTAAAAGAATAAAAATGAATCAGTCCTATATACAATTATGCAAAAATATTCATCAACAATGACAAAATTGTATCATAACTGAATATGACAATACAGATCTATATCATGTTCTTGATGGTTTAGACCAAGGAGAAATCAATGTTCCAATTTTATGATGTATTTTTTATGATCCTTTACTTTGCCATATTAACCAACATCACTCTCAACATGAATATACTATTTCCTCTAACTGGATTACTGACTTGGCAAATTTCACCAGCAACTCTATCTCTCTCACATTTACTAATCTCGCATATGTAGATGATACAGCCTGAATTGCTAATAATAACATATCAGTTCAGACTATTCTAAACACTGCCATACAATTTTACAGCATGTGCGATATTGATATCAACACAAAAAAACAGAAGTAATCTGCACTAATACCAAAGCAGACATAGATAATACTCTTTTATACTTAGGACATTCCCAAAACAGACTGATCATTCTACATCCACACATGTGCACCAAATATCTAGGTCTACTCATATCTGCAGTCAACTCTTTCTCTGCACAAAAACACAAAATCAAAGCAAAGACCAACACTCTATCAAATCTTCTCACTCAAAAAAAACTTATTGACAAACAAATCATCTACATTATCAATCATGTCTTTATACCAGCTCTCGAATACAAATCTCAATTATTTATACTCTCCAAAATTGACTGCAATTCAATTACACATCTCTTCAAAAAAGTTCTCAAAAAGAAAATACACACTGCTGTCAGCACATCAGATGGAATTCTTCATCACCCTCTACTTTACTCATTAGATCACATCTATCATATTCAATCTAGAAGCAAAATCAGTGAACTTTTCTACAGACTTAATGATCCAACTACTCTTGGTCAAGTTACTTATATTTGTCTACAGGCCCTTTAGGAACAATAATGAAGTCATATCTTCATTTTACAAAATTCAACTCCTGAACAATCACCAACAGGAAAAAATCTTATCGCAAATATATTATCACTTTTAACAGAAAGATTCTTCTCACTCTACCCTACATATCACACAATAATTAATACTCTTATATAACTCAACAATCACTTCAAATGACCATTTGAAAATATTCTGGATCTGTGACTTATATATATTAAATGCAGAAACATCCTAAGACAAGATCATGTACTCACTTTATTACAATTAACCAAATACAACAATACACAACTCATTACATAGAAACAATATAAATCATATTTTCGTCAAACCAGACATGGACCAAAATCATGATGGTTCACACTCCTTGAAGAAAGAACACTAAACATTTCCACTTCATCCTGTCAAATTATTAATATATCCTGGATACCAGAAAAAAGTTATTACAAATCTTCACTCACCTCTATTTACAACATTAAACTATCCATCACCAATAATAATATCTAAATCTGGACTCATATACAAAACCAACTAGCCAACAAATCCTCATTAACAGTCTATACTGATGGCTCTATCCAACAAATGAATACAAATTTTGTCAGATACAGCTTTGCTTGGACAACATGACCACCTGACATCAATCAAATTGGCATCCCATCACAATGTATCTTTACTACATCTACTGAAATTGCTGCACTATGTATACTTACAGAGAATCTTAGTTCATATACAACTGCAACTGTACATACAGACTCTTTATCCACTATACAGGATTTTAATACAAATATCACCAACAAAAACTGTCTTAGCAGTAGAAAAGTTCTTCAAAACACCAACTGGTCGTATTGGAAAATTATTAATGACTCCATTACTAACAACAGACTAAACATAATCCCTCTCAAAGTAAAAGGACACTCAAAAAATCCTGGAAATGAACTCACAGATACTCTTGCAAAATCTGCATGTTTTGCCTCTCCCTTTTCTATTAATTTCAACAAATTACCAGACATCAATTTTTATCCAATTTTTAATCACTCAATTCCAATCATCAACAACATTAGGAATACTCTCAAAACTCAAGATCGCATTTCATTCAAACTTCTCTGACAATTTTCCTCAAATATTTGTTAAACAAAGGGTTCACTGACACAATTGACTGGAACATCACCCATCTTACATGGAATCAGGATCAGGACATTCACTCCATGTACGCATCTTTACTCAAATCGATATTTTGCAATTTTTGTCTAAAAAGTACTCACAATTTGCTACCTATACTTATCAATCTCCACAAATTTTGATCACAACTCTACCCTGATAATCTTTGCTCAAGATGTCTTGGCTGTAAGAAAACTACTGATTATATTTGAACATGTCCTTTTTCAAGAATTTTCATTTCAACAATCTTTCAAAATGCATTTACCAAACTTTATAACCTAATTAATCATCATCTTTCTTTTTCTACAAACTTCAACTTTCATAATCTCAAGAACGTTATATCCAACTTTCACAAAATTTCACATTTTTTCAAGTTTCCTTATAACTCTCTAACTGCACCCATAGTTCCAGGTTATATTGAACTTTTCAAAGACTTTGTTCTTGTTGAATTAACCAAATTTATTTTAAATTATACTTTTCTGACTCAGAAAATAGCTACAATTATTGCCTTCAATTTCATCTCCTGGCTTGTAGAAGAATGACGTATACACATCTGAAACAATCATTGCTTAAAA